GTAGCCAACCCTCACTTCATACGAAGATCCTGGGCACACAACCCCCACACCCTCCTGGGGTACATGCAGGGCAGGAGCCACCACCCCCTTCATGCACCGGGTACACCCCTGGACAAGCCACTCACGGCTCCATCATGTGCCTTGATCTGCCCCCCCCCATGGCCCTTCCTCCACAGACTTGTGCTGGGGACGGACACACACACACACACACACACAGATGCGTGCACACACACGCAGCTCCCCCAATTATTTTTTTCTTTCTCCACCTACATATCTGGCTTCAAATTTGCACGCGTAACAGGGTCTTATTGCCTGTTGCTGGGAGCTCTGTCAGCTGATGAGGCTCCCAGCTGCAACGGTGTACCATGCCCAGCTGGAGCTGGAAGTCCCACAAATGAGGGGACTCGGCCTCAGCAGTTGCCAATTCTGGGTCCTGGTTAGAAAAGGTACAGACGGGGTAGTCAAGGTGAGGGGTATGTATGGAGCAGCTGCCATATTGGAAGCATCTCAAAAGTCTAGGACTTTTCAGTTTGGAAAGGAAAGGACTGAGAGGATATGTGATTCAGGTCTATAAAGTCATACAGGGTTCTGGATTAAATGAATAGGCAACTGTTATTCACAAATCCCAGAACACAGGAACAAGTGGGCACCTACTGGAATTAACAGAAGGTAGGTTTAAAACAAAAGAATAGGAATTACTTTTAAACAGTACAAAGTTAACTTGTAGATCTCACTGCTGCAGGAGGTTATTAAAGCAGGTACATTAGGTTGGAAAGTAATTTAAACTTGAATCATACTACCTTAATTTAGACAATTATTGCATTAAGAAGTCCTTTAAGTGGTTTTTATTTAGTTGCAACAAAAAGTTACCACAGTTGATTTGTTCTTAAATGATGTTCACTATTTAACTCATTGTGCATTACAATCATAATTTACCCAAAAAACTAACATATTCAGGGAATTATTTCAATGTTTTTCTAGTTTTAATGAGAAATACAAACCCACTGATTCTAGCCACCAGCCAACTCATTCTTGAGCATCAGAAAAGATACATCTATCTGATCTTTAAATTTTTGTATTTATTAGTGGTGCATAAAGATATCAATTATAGCATATAAAAGCTTAATGTAGAACTTAACCTGTTTGGGAAGACATTCCATTACCAGCAATAAAGTTTTTAAGTACTGCAATTCGTCTCTATTAATTAAAACAGTCAGCTATCATCTTCACTTGAATTTCTCTCAAGATTATGTTAGTGGTAATATGGTACAAAATCTGATAAAACCATTTTGAAATGGCTGTTGATTACTTAAGCCAACTGTGCTTAGAACACCATGTTGATGACAAGCTTTTGAAGAAGGGGACTGTGTTTTTGTTTTGCGTTTATACAGAGTGCAACACATTCAAGTCAGTGACCCCAAAGATTGCTACTGAGCTCCTGAAATTTCTAACCACCCCATCTAACTGAAATTTGGTTAAGTTCCCCTCCAGCACAGTAAAACTCAGGCTCAGGTAACTTAAACATACCAAAACTAATGCCAGACAGATTGAAACCCTGGACTCTCAAAGTACACAATCTCACACTTATTTAACCCATGTATTGCGGTGTTCAGGTCAATCTGTAGTAAAACTGACCCAGCATAGGAACTTATTATATATAAAATTATCCATATTATTTTTAAACAGGTGATGCAGGGCAGAGGTAACCAACCTGTGACACAGGTAGTGTGGCATGTGGCAGATTGAGGAGGGGATAAGCAGCACAGTAGCAGATAGGGGAGGGAGCAAAAAATCAGAGCAGCAGATCAATCAGGTGAAGGGGACTGAAGTGACACTTACAAAGGGGGAGAGGCTAGTTTGTTGGACACTTGCCAAAAAGGTTGGTTCCCACTTATGGAGAGGATCCTATGGGTTGACAGGACTGCAATATATACATTAATACTCATTTTAAAAACACTAACTACCAAATAGTAGCAGTATAAGCTTTTGAACTGATAACTAAGATGCCCAAGGCAAAGTTCTTATACTTGTAAAATAAAATTGAAAAAGAAAGCAAATGGAAGCCCACTGAGCACTCTCATTTTATACTTTAATCTTTAGCAATTGGTGATAGAAGGTTGTTAATCCTATCATTTTAAACTTTAAGAATATTACAATCTTTGCCTTGAAGGTGATACTGTATACTTTTCTGTGAATCTTCAAACTTAAAGTATGAGGTGCCTTATATTTTAGAGCTATTCAACTTCAGCAACATTCCTTCAAATAGTGTTGTTATATATCATTTAAAGAAAAATTCCAGTTCATTAGCTCAGGGTTCAGCCACCTTTCAGTAACGGGGGGCTGAATCAACACAAATAGGTCAAAAGGAGGGCCAGAGCATATAATTTATCATGGGGCTCTTCAACAGCAATGTGACAGTGGGTGGTTCCTTCACAAAGCACATATACAAGGACTACAGAACTTGCACCAATGTCTTGCATCTTCTCAGTAGTGGGAAATATGCATGCAGCACCCACTAGAGTAACCTCCATCCCCCTGGAAACTGTATGGAAGAGGCTGTCTTCAGTCCTGCAGACCAAAGGTATGTTTGGGGCAGGCAGCCCCTGCTCACACACTGACTGCAGGCAGGCCCCCCTGCACTTCAAATCACAGAAAAAGTTGCCAACCCATATGGATAGACCGTAAAAAAAAAGCAGCAGCTAAAAATGCTTCCCTCTAAAAGTCTAAAAAAATTGAGCTGTCCATAAAACAACTAAGAATCTGTGAGCTTCTTTGAAGATCTGTCACAGGAAGAAGGCTAGATGCAAGTGTTGATAGACAAAAAGCAGAGCAGTGCCACCTTAAGTCTGAGAAGGAACACAGCTTGGTGCCCTGCAAGGCATTAGGGCTTTGTGGCCCATGGGGTCCTCCTCAGTACCCCCCCTTATCCTCCCCATATCCAGCTACATGCTGCCTCTGCAACCCATTGCCTGTAACAGCTGGCCGCATAGAAAGCAGGCAGGACCATGTGACCCAGGAAGTCTAAGGCACCAGTAAGGACAGGGAGGGGGTGATGCAGCTGAGAAAGCTGTACAGCAAGGTGGAAGTGGTCCGTGTCAGAACAGGGGGAGCAGGACCAGTAGAAGTAAGGCTGGCGGGTGGGCTGGGCTGGGGGCAGCATGATGCAATCAGGGTGCCGGAATAAGTAAAACATGTCACTAAAAATGTTGTTGTTAGTAAGAAGTTTACAGATTCTCGTTTAAAAATTTTTCTTGAGTTGGCAACTACACCCACAGAGTGCATCCAGTTGCTGCAACTGAACACGCACAGCACCAAACTGATCACTACCCAATTGCTCTGCCAGTCCATGTCTGGTTACTGACTTACTGGAGCATCTAATCCTAGTCCCTGTTGTTGCAGCTGCCACCCAGTGCCCAGCACACGAAGCTCTAGGACCCAGGAGACAGAGGAGCATCCTAAAGCACAATGTACTTCTGGGTATATGAAAGAGCTGGGAGTGGCTGCATGCGTGTGCATTCTGCAACACATACCAGATAGCAGCTACCAGAGCAGGCACTGGGACAGCGTTCCAGCGTGTTCCAGACCAGCCTAGCACTTGGTTGTTTGACTCCAGATGCATGGAGAAACTGTGACCACAGCCACCATGGCTCTTCTACAGATCCAAAAGCATGCTGTGCTTCAGGATGCCTCTTTCAGTCTGCTGGGTTCTAGAGCTTGGTAAGCCACTTAAAAAAAGCTTGGTGGGCCAGCTTTGACCTATTGCTGCATGCTGCCAATTCCTGCTTTAGGCCAGAGGTGCTCAACCCCCAGCCTATGGGTCAAAGTAACAAGCAGAGCCCCAGCATCCAGCCCACAGGGCTCCCCTGGGTTGGTAAATTTGGTGGCAATGGAGCGGTGGAAATTAATACTGCCACCCCTCCGACTGCCAAATTTCCATGCCCTGAATAGCTGGGTTGGGGCCAAGACTTGTCTCCTCCCCCAGTGTGGACAGGTCCAGGCTGGGACGTGCTCCCTTCCCCCCGTGGCTAGATCTAGGCTGCTCCCCACCCCACCTCTGTGTAGCCAGACTGGGGCCCACCACATCTGCCTCGTGCACCAGATTGAGCCCATTGGCCAGATCCAGCCCACAGATGGATGGAGCATTGCCCAGCCAGCTTGTGGGGCAAAAAGTTGAGCACCACTGCTTTAGACAAATGCTTGAAAGCCATATTATAGAAAGGCTAGAGAAGGTTAACAGCATTTTCTTAAGAATAAAATCCCATTTTCATGAACTCCTAATATAAAAACTCATTCTTAAATTTAGATTCCACAACTACATCAGAGATGTCAGATGTAAAATAACTGGCTCCAAAACACCCCCAAAAACCTATTTCAAAGAAGATCCAGAACGTTCCCTATGCAACGTGAGTGCGTCTACACGTGCCCTTATAGCATCGTTGTTACTGAGCTGTCATTTAGTACTTCCTTTTAGAAGTAATAAGTGATGGTGCATAACAGCCTGTACTGTGCTGTGCCAGTGGCACATGGTTATTTTTAGCCGCTATGTTGCCATACCAATGTGGTATAGCAAGGGAGTGCGTTGCCACGGCAACATAGCAGTGGCGTCACAGTTTGTGCCTGCTGATGCTACATCGCCGTAGCATGTTGCTACAGTGACATAGTGTCACATGTAGACATGCCCTGTAGGTATCAGATTTAATACTAAAACCAGTATAGAATAAGCATGGCACTTCTTTACAGCCCATTTTTTTCAGAAAGATGAGAGACTAATCCACCTCAAGTATTTATTATCACCAGCTCTGATAATCTACATACATCCATCCCAAAGCACCATACTTAATCGCTGTCTGATTTTTCCTATTACAAAAAAAATATTCTAAAGTTTAATTCAACAATTACATAAAGGTTGTTACAACCTGAGAAAAAAAATTCTGGGATGGAATCATCAAGTGTGAAACAGATGTCATTTACACTTCTTTTTACATTTGAAGAACTCATACCTGGGTGCACTGCCCGTTAAGCTTTCACTTGATGATGACGATGATGATCCAGGCCTCTGTTCTGTTTTCATTCCTAGAGTCTCTGTTGTATTACTCTGCGATTTCTCTCCTTCCTCTTCTGGCTTCTTTTTTTCACTGTCACTATCGTCACTGCCTTCGCCTAAGATGTCATCGACCTGCCAATTGGTCAAGAGTCAGTACGTACTCTACTCTCACAGAGCCGTAGTCTTAAATATGCATTTTAAAATGCCTCAATAGATTGCTTGCTCCATTTTCTTGAAAATATAAAAGTATTAAAAGTATCAAAATTAAAAATGAAGACCAGTCTTTAAAGAAGTTTCCACAACAATCACAATGTTTTGTTTAAATAAAAAATTATAGAATTATTTCAAGTTTATGTTCACTTATGTAAGATGTATATTAACTAAAGTACCCTAAAAAAAATACATTCCACTTTAACGTTATTGATTTTTTTTTGTTTTGTTTTAAAGAAAAAAGAATAGGGATAATCAGGAAATAAACAGAAATCATTATAGGAAGTGTGCAAATTATTGAGAAATTAAATAGACAGATGCTTTAAACTACCAGAAAATAATGAACAGTGGGTCATCTATGCGAGAAAGATACTGAAGTCTCCAGTTAACAAGCAGTTTTATCACTTCAGATAGCCCTATTTAAAACCCTAATATTAAAGAAGGGCTTTACCAAATGACAGGAACTGTGTGAAAGGAACTGAAAATACAGAAGATACTATTCTAATGAGGTTCTGTCTACTTGCTTACTAATTAAGGCAAGTGTATCAAAACATTTAGACATTTCAATAAACAGTAGTTTGAATGTTGCTCTTAAGTTAGCATGGCATTTTATGTTTGCCTATAACACCCTTATTCATTCTAGAGGTTTGCAGCTGCAGAAACCAGTAAAACAAAACTTATGTGATGCATTGCAAGTCGCATGTTCCTTTTTGAACTACAGGTGGAAGAGGAATAGGAAAGTGTAAGTGATGATGATACATTCACCCTTCCATTGCAACTGGTAAAAACCATGAGAAGGGAGAAAGGAGATGGGATTACTTTTGGGGGCTAAGTGGCTGGAGCTTTGATGAATCTTAAATTTTCTCCTAACAGCAACCTACTGCAGCAGACAGCAAAGGAGAGGGAGTAAGGCCACAGCAGCTCAGCGTTATAAAGAGTCCTTTCACTTTCCAATATTTTAATCCAAAAGGCCCTATTCAGAGCTATTGTGCAAGTCAGTGGTTCTTTCAGACTCGAGGCACGTCTGGATGAACTTGAGGCACCCCTCAAAAAGTGCCAGATCTTGGTTTTCACTTTTTTGATTACAGAAAAATAGGAGAGCAGTTTTTCTTTTGTAAAGAATGCAGAAGGACCACAACTATGGATTTCTATTTGAAATCTCTGGATTTACCTTGCAAATCATGTTTGCACATCTAAACAGTGTCTGGCAAGCTGCAGCACCTTTGAAAGGATCCCAAGCCACCCCAAGGTGCTGGGACACCTTGGTTGAGACTCACTGCTGAAATGGAACTAATGGACCTCATAAAAACACCAGTCTTGATAGGATTCCAACCCCCTTTCTCTGGTAAACTCCGACTAGAGGAAAACTAAAAGGAAACAATGACCATACTCAACTCCTGACCTCTGTGGCTTGGGGAACATATCCCTTTGCCCCCATTTAGTTTTATTTCTGGTTGGGGAAAAAAAAATTACTCGTGATGCCAGGAACAGCCGCCAAGTCTCCAGTTTGCATGAATGCAGATAAACCAACAGCATTACTATAAGATCCAAAGGTTCCCAGCCAGTCAAACAACAACTGCTACAAAGTTTGGCCGTGCAGTCCCAGTTCTGAATGTCTATGAATGCTACAACCCCTTCTAACTCAAACAAGTCCACAAAAAAAGAGTGGCGCAAAACTTACACTGTACACAACTAGACTGGAATATGGATTTTGCAGTAGCAGAGGGCAGACTAGAAGAGGGCCACTTGCTGCTGTTACTACGTAAGCGGGTCCTTCATCAGAAAGTCAAAACTTGAAAACAGTGCTGGAAATTAACCAGCATGGGCTTCATGACAAAGAATGGCCATTCTTGGATTAGCACACTGGGCTGATAAATTCCCCATTCATCCTATTATATAATATGGATTGGCATGACGAGGGATCCGGGTTTTCTGTTTCCCACGGAACGTAGGAGTAAAATGTGGATTTCCCCCTCTTATCAAGTAAAACGTGGATTCCTCATTTTAGCAGAGAAACCTGTGCAGTTTTGCAACAAGCCCTCTGTAGCTTAGCAGAGTTCCAGCCAGCAAGGGGCTGGTCAGGCAGGGAATACCATGTGCATATACTGTACATGGCCCCAGGCAGCCAGAAGAGAGCAACTCCCATGGGTAAGTGCGGGGAGGCACGGGGGAATTGAGGCCCTCATAGGGAAGGGGTTGAGCTGGGCCAGGCTGGGCTGAGGCTGCTGCCCAGCCAGGCAGTGTATGGGGCTTGGGGCTGCAATGCGCATCTGCAGGGCCCTGGGGGAGAGCAGGATGGGGCTGCAGGTGGCTCATCCGGGGGGTGGGGGGAAGCTCCTAACTGCTACATGTACTCCTGGAGTGCAGGGGGCGGAGCTGCACCCACCAGATCTGTGCGTGGAGTGGGGGCAAGGCAGGATGCTTGCTATGGGCTTGGGCTCCTGCCATGCTGCCCTTTCCTAGGGCCTCCACAGCCCAGCATATGCGACCCGACACTGCAGGTAACAGCAAAACTGTGCAGGAAAGAAACTGTGCTTGCTGCTGTGAGCTCTGCATCACCCTGGCAACATGTCCCCTGTGTGCATGGGACACAACCCTGTGCTGCTGTCCCCACTGCCCCCCTGTGCACAGGAGACGCATCACCAGGGCAGCGCAGAGCTCACAGCAGCAAGAAGCTTTCCTGTGTGGCTCCACTGTTCCTTGCAGTGCCAGGGTGTGCCCACCAGGCTGCAGAGGCCCTGGGGGAGGGCAGCTGGGTGGCAGCCTGAGTCTGCAGGGGACAAGCCTGAGCCCACAGGGGGTACCTGCCCCGTGCACAAATCTGGAGGGTGCAGGTCCACCCTGACCCAAGAGTGCATGCAGTGGCGGGGAGCTGCCCCTATCTCTGGCCAAGGGCCCAGCAGGCAGTTCCTAGCTGGGCTATGCTCCACTGCAGCAGCTGCTGTCTTCTGTTGGGGGGCAGGGGGCTGCAGACCTGGGTCCCTGACCCCATAGCCCTGGCAGATGGGGGGCCCCCCTCTGGCACAGCTGAGGGGGTAGGGGCTGTGGGTGATCTTTTATTTTAATCACAGATTTTGGGGGTTTTAATCAGAGAATTTGCACTTTTTTTTTTTAATCAGGGAAAACCAGGATCCCTGGGCATGACAAACCAGACCTCTTTGCTAATGTCTGAAAAACTGGGGGACACCATTGTATCTCCACCTGATCTGGATGTTATTTCTTCAAGTTGAATTTTTCAAGGCTTCAAGAAGTATTTTAGGTCTTTTTTATTCTCCAACAATATAAAATTTGACCCCAAAAATCCACATCAGATCTTCTGAAAGTTTGTCTCCTGACAAGTTGTGTTCTAACTCTCTAAACACTTTAACATATATGCGTAGGATGGAACATAAAAAGGAATGAACTCTTCTGAAGTCTCAAAGTACTGCTTTCTAAGATGAGTAACAACAATTCTAGGAATTTTTAATACAGTTTCAGCAGAAAGTTTTATACCGATCCACTTGCCAATATACCAACTCTATAGATTTTCCCAATTATGGCATTAAAAGAGAAATCATTAAATAAATGGTATTATAGGACATTTTCTTTCATGTCTCTGCAACACACAAATGTGACTCCCTAATTTTTGGTGGAAATAAATGGGAAAATTTAGGACGCAGGTGACCAAAACTCAAAAGTAGCTTATTTCTCATACAGAACATTCTCCACCCCTTCGGAATTGGGCCAAATACTCTACTAAAATTTTCTGTATACAATGATTCCTCTTGCAAGTCCTAAACAGAAGATGTGAATGCTTTAAGTACAACTGCTGTGATGATCAAATCTACTGAGAGCACTTCCTGGTCCAGTTACTTATTTTAAGTGCGACTTGTATCACTGACTTCACTGGACACTGTGAGGAGCAGCAGCAGCAAGAAAAACATGTGCTGAAGACATACAACTTACTCCTGGGCAGTAGTGACCTATATCTTGATGATGCCTAAAATATAATAGATGAAAAAGTAGCCTGCAGCTCTAGAAAATAAACAGCTGAAGTGTGTGCAAGAGAGCACATTTTCCCTACCTATATCCCAAATGAGCTAGATAAGGGACAGAGGATAAAGAAGGAAAGCAGGGCAAGTTTACAAGTTATCATGGAATTAATCCAGCATGCATACCTGTCTCTATGGAAAGGAAGTGAATTAAATGTCAGTTTGCCTCCTAAAGAGGTAAAAGAAACCACCCCACTTTGGAAAAAGAGATCAAGCATATCTGTCCTTTTTTGGTGAAGGAGTAAGCTATGGAAGATAAAAGACAGGTTAGGAGCAATAAGACTGAGGAAGAGATTAGGAATGTCACACAAGAATTATGGCTTGTTGTATCCACCCCTCCAGCAGACCGTACAGGTGGGCTGGAGAGCACTACCACAGCAGCAAGGAATGCCAGACAGATCTATGAAAGGAAGCTCTGTGGGGCAGTTTTACCGACGAACTAAGAATGTTCCCTCACACTCCTACTGTGGTTATCAGATGGCAAGGAAGCATTTCTCTGTTCCACACCTATCCAACATGTTTTAGAGGATAATAAATACTTCACATTTCCTATATAAACCTCACGTCTAATTTCTTCAAAATAACCTGATAACTTCAGCAGTGTAGGTAGGGATGCAGCCGGGGACCTTGGGCAAAGCAGAAGTGGCTTCTGTTTGCTGCTATAATCACAATTGTGAACACATGGCTGCCAGTAGCTGCTTTTTTTCCACCACTGCCTGTTCCCAAAGTTGGCACCAGGGCGGGTTGCCCCCCTTAGTTACACCACTGCTTTCTGGTGGTTTCTCTGGAGGTGGCTCAGAAGGAAATAAAAGAAGTGCAGCAGGCATGCCTCTAAACCAGGGATAGGCAAAATATGTCCTGTGGGTTGAATCTGGCCTGCAGAGGGTGCCC